AAACACAAATTAAGGCTGGGAAAGGAAGAAGGTGTTGCAAAGAAAATTAAAGTGTCTTTGCCTTGCCTGTGTTTGGAAAGCAAAGCAAAATGTTATCATGGATATCAGCCCCTCAAGGAATCAGGATCAGGAAACAGAAGTCACAAGAATTCTAGAACTCTATTTTATTGATCTAGGCCAGAGTAATACAATCTCAAGATCAGAATCGGGCAAGCCAGGGTATTCCCTGTGACATTCTATAGAAGCGAAAGTTGGATTTTAAAGAAGCAGGATAGGAAGAGTATTGACGCTTCTGAAGTTTAACGTTGGAGAAGACTCCATGGACAGCCAAGAAAACAGACATGGATTACAGAGCAAATCAACCCAGAGTTCTCACCCAAGGCATAAATGATCAGGCTCATATATCGGAGATATTATGCAAAAATCTTGCTTACTGGAGAAGGCTCTGATGCTGGGAAAGATGGAGGGAAAGGGAAGAGGACAACCAGCAGCAAGGGGGGGGGGGGACTCAGTTCTGTGGCGATGGGGGCACCGTTGGGACACCTGAAAGAGTGGGTTAGGGACAGATCCTCCCGGAAAAAGATCCACCTGGAGAAAATCTCTCTGTGTAGTTGCTAAGTGTTGACCCAGACTTGATGACATATAATCATTTAAAAAAACAAACACAAATCTTGAAAACCTGACAGCACTTTCCCTTCCGTCTATTTTCTACCCCTTCAAAGAGAGTCCAGGCACAGTCAGTATAAGCTTCTTTCAAATGCCTTATTTCTTTCCTGGACTTAACTCGTGTTTTGCTAACTGCTGCATTCCTTCTCCAGGTGCTCCCTGTGGTTCTCGACAGGGTGACTTTGGGCCACGCACTCTGTCTCAGCCTTAGGAAGGAGAAGGAAAAGGCACATCACTTCCGAAAATCTTGCCAAAAAAGTTCCTCCAGACAATCACCAGGAATCCTGCCTGATCCAAAGTCACCAAATTGATTGATTGAATGATTGATTGAATGAATGAATGAATGAATGAACAAAGTGAAATGGATGCAACATAAATCAATTCAGCTTGCTGTAAATGTTTTCTTACAAAGGCACTTTAAGTAGGTCATATGTATGGGGAGCATCTCATTGGTTTGGTAGTGAACGCAGCTCACGTGTGCATTGCGGGGGGCTCTCTTTTACCAGCACAATCTTTAGAACCGAGGCCATGAAGTTAATTCTATAAACCCTGGTTCTGTTAACCGTGCCCAGTGCCAGCTCTTGGAGGGATCGGGCAAGAGTTTTCCCAGACCAAGCTGGAGATGTTGGAATTGAAGGTGGGGAAGAGTAGCGGGCCAAGTTGGGACATCAGTAGGGAGCTGCCCAAAACCTTCCTTCCCCCAGGGGTGGGGTGGGCCCTCTTTTACCCCAGCACACAAAGGCCCCCGTTTTTGAGCTAGAATACAGATGAAGCTGCATAAAAGGGAAATAAATATAGGATACTCTCCTTTCCATTGCTCTAGGTGATTCCCAAAGAAATTAAGAAGGGCTGGACCTGGTTAACGTTTGGGATGGGAGACCACCAGGACATCTGCTGCATAAAAGGCCTGCACTGACGTGTAATGTCATCCTACGTATTTATGCCATGCTGGAAATTATTGCACATGGCCCTTGATCTCCAAAAGGCTGACTATCCATCTTATCCTAAGAGCAAACCTGCATATTGTGCTCTGGGTGAACGGTCCTAGAGATTTTGAATGGAAGTCGCTGAACCCAGCAAGATATTCTCCTCACCAGGCCTCTGAAAACCCAACAACCCTGGCCTGAGTGAAGCAGGCCTTCCCTCTGCAAACGGCTTTCTAAAGGTACACTGCTTCTGAATATGGAAGCTCCAT